AAAGGGCCGGCGCCGTTCGCCGCTGCTGCCGGCGACCGTGTCTTTTCTGCTCCCGATCGCAGTCTCTCGGTGTCGAACACCGAATGCAGCTGCCGAAACAGAGCAACGGTCCTAATCATCCGCGTGGAAACTTCGTCGAACGCGGTGATTACGGACAATTAACGAATCACGGTGTACGGTAATGTTTCTCTGATTGTACACAAAAATGGACAATTTGGGAGGAGGAGACACGATTGTTCGAGCCTTGCGGCTCGTGTTTATAATTGTCGACGATCGATAACCATAAAAAGCGAGTCACAAGGTTCGAACAATCTTCCAAAATTGTCCATTTTTCTGCACAATCCGAGCGCCAGTTAGAGAAACATTACCGTAGATCGTGCTAAATTGTACACAAGCAATCGCTTCGTTTGTTCTTAGTATCGAAACTATCGTTACAGAAAATAACGCAAAATTGGAGTTTTCCGCGCTTGTAAATTTTGTCTGGATAAAACTGTTCGAGCTACTTTNTTGTCCATTTTTCTGCACAATCCGAGCGCCAGTTAGAGAAACATTACCGTATTCGGATCGAGACGATATTACGAACAGCTGATCGGAAGAAACTCCTCCTAAATGCGCCCCCTAATGCATTCTCAAAGAAATCGATGCTGCTAGCAATTTATCATCCAATTTGCGCTGCGATTTCTTTCACGTCGTAACAACACCTTTTATTTCAATCGCTAATGGACTCTCGTACCTTTTGCCCCAGCGTTTAAATATTGTAGGCTACCACACGGTATGTAATATATGTACAATATAAAAACTTACATTAGCAATAAACCGAGATTGCTGCAGCGAGTAGAGGCCGAAGAATCGTTAGGATCATAATTAGCGTGGCAGAGGCAGCAAAGAGAATAGGTTGAAGAACGGTTTGCGCCGGATCTTTTTACGATCGTAGAGCAATTACGCCGATCGGTCATTCGCTAATAAAGAATCGCGTGCGGTTTTTGTCGAAATCCGCGGAGCGGAGAGGAAACGAGCCGTCTGTCTGAATATCGGACGACCGTCGGTGGCAACGACTTCCTGTTTTGTCTAACGGTAACGGTACGACGGACGGACACGACGGCGATGATTCCTCGTCGACACTCCCAGCGGCTGATCTTTTGATCTGCCCGCGGAATCGATTCGTTAATTTAATGCCGCGTCGTCGGGGCGAGCCTCTGGGCGGGGTCGGACGTCGGATGCCGGAGTGCATCGAGTTTTATCGCCGGTGTTGCCCCCGGGCCAAAGCCGTGCCGTGCCGTGCCGTGCCGTGACTCGGCGAGATCGAAACGGTTTCTCCCCGGTGGTTGGCCTTTTTTAACGCGCGACGCCGGTATTAACTGCCAATCATTTTCTTTCCTAATAAACGAACGCGAAACTCGTTCGCCTCTCTCGGTCGGTTTCTCCGGTTTCCGTCGGAAAAATCCGCGGATAAATTCGTGTCGGCCGCGCGCGACGGTGTTGCGTAACCTAAATCGACTTGGAGATACGGACGGTTCTCGGAGCTCGGACACGAGGGCGAACGTTCAAGAAAATCACGTTGGTTGCAGAGCTCGCGCGACCAAAACGGCGCGAACGAAATAATTCATTCAAGCGCCGATCTCCGCGTCCGTCTTCCACTTCCGCGATCGGAAATTGTTGGCTACGAGCGAGATTCATCGCCGAGGAGCTGGAGCTTCTTGATTACGTATTCCGACGGGGCGGCGGATTCGCAGACCAATTTGGAAACCGTTCCGAGATCGAACCCGTTAAACGGACGAGCGCGAGTTGTACTCGGGAGAGAATCGTTCGTCTCTGAAACACGGGATCGCGCTTTCGTCGAATGGAAAACGAAAAGCCGGGAACGCCGGAGTCTCGCGTGACAAGAGGCAATTCTGTTAAAAGGCTCGCCTCGCGAGCGATGCGCGCAGGCCCGGCCCGGCCCGATTGATATTAAAACCGCGTTAGATTGGAAGGGTCGCGGAAGGGCCGCCGGCGAGCAAAGGCGCGCCCCTTATTAACCGTCGCGGCCGGACGCAATAACGCCTAAAAGGTTTGCAGAAACGCGGCGCAGCGAATCCACGATCGCGGCTTCTAATTTATTCGCAATTTTCAACTCGTTCGAGCACCGGTGCGTGGGCGATCCGCGCGACGGCCGATAACTCTGGCGAAACTATGACCGATCGTCCGCGAGAACGATGGATTTTCGAGTCCCGCGTGTCCTTATTTTTCAGTCGCGATGGAACAATGACGCGCGAGGCCGCGCCACGCCGACGAACGATTAAGAGTGCGTCAATCGCGTATTTATGCTCGTTGCTCGTCGTCGCCGAGCACCGTCTTGCCATGCAAATCCCGACGAAATCGGGACCCGGCCGATACCACCGACGCAATTCAATTACATCATCTCGCCCGCATCGTCGATTGTAACAGCTAGGATCGCAGATAGGCGACGTGCGCGGCATAGCGAACCGAAATTTTATCGGCGCGGCGACTCCCACATTTTAAACGGAGATTAGCGGAGCCGGGTCTCCCGCCGCTGCTTGTTAAAACAGAATAATCTGCTTGGCGAAACATTGTCGGCGGCGAGGGGAAAGTCGCGCGATACGTCGGTTTTATGGCAACGAGATAGCGAAGGTACACAGACCTGGAAACGGCGCGACGGGACGGGATCGAGGCGCAACGAGTGGCTTAATCCCGGCGACAATCCCTTCGACTACTTTCGGTTCCGTTCTCCCGAAAGATCAACCCCGGAAATTAGGAAACAGGCGCGCTATCTCGAACCGATCGCTTGCGAGCAGATCGAACCCTTTACTCACTATTTAGTCACCCTGTGCTCGAGTCAAGTAATTAAATGTTCGAGCAGCAGATCCTTATCTCTCGCATTACCATGAATATATATTACAAGCTTGGTGCATTTCTTTGGATATCACGACAAAATTGATAGAGTGCGAAAATTTCCACTGGAACTGATCGAATAAATTCCTTAATTCGAGCTTAAATCGTAAGAAAAATGTTACAGTGCCCAAGTCAAATCAGCGGTATCATTCTTACAAAACAGTACACGCCGGTCATTTTTAGTGCTCGGTGAGTTTAGCGTTAATCAAGGAAGCGTCCGCATATTTCTAGACAACGGTGTACACAATTCCTTAATTCGAGCATAAATCGTAAGAAAAATGTCACAGTGCCCATGTCAAATCAGCGGTATCATTCTTATAAAATAGTTCACGCCGGTCATTTCTAGTGCTCTCCAGTGCTTTTTAGCGTTAATCAAGGAAGCGTCCGCATACTTCTGGTCGACGGTGTACACAATCTCGATCCAATTCCGCGGCGATCTCCTCGTAGCCTCCGCAAACGTACTTAAACCAACAACAAACAGAATGTTGATCGAATCGTTTCGCGCGCTGTTATCCCATCCCGGTATTATCGTACGATAAGCCACGGAGGAAAGTTCATTTCTCGAACAGCGGAGAGAAGACCGTTTGCCGGTCTTGTTCCGCGGCGGAGGCGGAGTTTACGCGCCGGTTGCCCGTTTCCTAGTCGATTACAATGGCTGTTCGGATGCAGAAATTTCAGATTCGCTTTCGTAGGCTCGCGGCGACTTTTCGGACATGCATATTCAGGCGGTTTCGGGCGTGCGGCGTTTCGCCGGTTGCTTAGAGCGTTTCAATCGGGGATCGCGATCTCGCTTTCGGAGCCTTTTACTTTCCTGCGCCCGGGTCCGGCGCCGTTGAATTTCGCGGGAACGAGCCCGGTCGCGTAATAACCGCCGACGCGATTTCCATCGGGGAATAGATCGCAATCTCGGCGCGTTGATATTTCCAAGAACACGAGCGTGAAATCCGTCTTGCCTTGGTTGAACCGTTCACGGAAGATTCGATTCGTCTGTGACGAAAATTCCTCGGAACGATCGAGTAAAGAAAGACGCGTGTCGTACGAGGAACGATCGAGGCCGAAGAAGCGCGCGAGTCAACGTAACCGCGAAAAGAGATCGCGGCGCGGAGGGGTTAATCGGTTAAGAGGCTTCCAAGATCGTTTCGACAATTGCTCGCACCGGCCGCGAAGGCTGCGCCTCGCACGCGTGGGCGGAGATTTCGTATTCGACGACCTTAACGATCGGGGACAAGTGGAGAGTGCCCACGTATTACCGTTCTGGCATAAACAAACGCGAGCGGAGAGAGCGTTCAACGCTGCGAGAGGAAATTGTATCGTCGCGAATGGAAAACGCGCGAAACGTTACGAAAACGGCTATGCGACATCGAAGATTCCAAAAAAGAAGAAAAGGAAAGTACGTACATCCTTGGAGCAACGATCGGTTTGGCCGTTACAGTAATGCCTTTCTAATTGACGCTCGGATTGTCCACTAAAATGGACAATTTAGGGAGAAGAGAGACGATTGTTCGATCCTTGCGGCTCGTTTTTGTAATTGTGGACAATTTATAACTATAACAATAAACCGCAAGGCTCGAGCAATCGTGTCTCCTCTTTCAAAATCGTCCACTTTTCGTGCACAATTTCGGCGCCAATTAGGGAGACATTACTAAGGAACATCGTCCGTGAAAATTGTTTCCTCGTCGGATCCGATTTCCAGCGGCGCGGCGCCGAATTGAGGAGGCTGAGCCACGAAACAGCGGATTGATCGATGCTCGAGCATAAAGGGGTGATTGGTCGGCCGGTGTCCAAGAACGCTCGAAGTCGGCGACGAGGCTAGGCGACCGCTTTTTCTCGGCATTCGACGGAACATTATAGACGCGATACGCTTATGAGAGGATCCCGGGACCGGGACGAAACCGTCCGCCGGAAGGACAAAAGGGGAATCGAGAAGGGGTTAAGATCGAGAAAGGGGATCGAAGAGGGTGGCGGGGACCCCCCTAGAGGGGGACCGGGCTCCGGCATGCGGCGCGTTGGCAGGTAGGATATAGCGGCTATAGCGGGCTATAGTCGCGGCTGTAGGAGTGGGAGATCCGCGATAGTCGGATGGACGAGCAGACCGAGGAACGTGGAACACCTCAGTTCAGAGTCGGACGTCCAACGTCGCAGTCCTTCGTGCCGCGATTTCCTCCGGGATTTCGCCGTCGGATCGTCTGCGCGAGGATTACGCAACCGAGCCGGTTCAAGCGCGAATCGCAGGCGCTCTCGAGCGGATCTGGACAGCTCGCCGCGTTGTCCGGGGAAGAAAATGTGAATTCGCGAGTGAACGCGCTGGTCAGCGAATTTTCTGGATCCCGATAGATCCCGAAAGTCGGACCGATCGCAGCAGTCGCCAGCATATACTATTCTGCGACGGTGCAACGTCGATGCCGAGCGCGTTCTTCTCGGCGGGAAGTGCACGCGCAGAGCGGATTCCCCAACGAGGAGGACCATGAAGAAGCGGTGGTGACCTGGTGCCGGTCGCGTTCCTTCCGGCTCGTGTCCTCGCTCGAGAATGATATCGCGCAATCCATCGATCGAACCGAGGCTGCTGTCGGCCGCAGGTCGCATCGGAGCACCGAGACGCGCGGTCTCGATCGCCGTTTCGTGACCGGTCCGCTCCGAATTCGAGAGCGAAAGTGAACGAGAACGAACCGGACTCCGAAGGGAACCGAACGGAAGCAACGGGGACCAAAGGGTGCCGAAGGGTACCAAAGGGAGATGCAACGTGTCCCGTGACCGCGAAGCTGCAATAGTTTCCGCAGAAATCGCAGGAACATGGCTCTAAACGCGTCCAGGAACGGCTCGCCCGTCGTTCGGGACAAGGAGAGCATCCCGGCCTACGATGTACGTATTTGCATATGTACGCGATTGCATATTCGGTTTCCTGCCATTTATCTCGCGATCGTCGTCTCCCGACCGGCCACCGACGGCTGCACCTGCATCCGATGCCCCTGCACACAGCGCCTCGGTTTTTATCGGCGTCGTTCGTTTCGTTAATTTCGTTCATTAAGAACAGAAACGTTGGCGAGGGTGTGGCTCCCGACGATTACATGCCTCGGACCGGCGCTTAGCATTTTATTACAGCATCGTGTGCGAGCGTTCGATATGTTTTACTTTCGCGATAGGGGGAAAGGGGAGGAATTGGAGTTCAGGGAGATTCCGAACGATTCCGTGAGAATCGGTATTCACAGTGGGCAACGCGACGACTCGATTTCTTGTTCAAATAATATCAAACTAGTCCTTCGAACGTCTCTAAAAAATTCGAGGCGTTCGGTTCGATTTTTCAGTATATAACCGTTTGAAAAGCTGCGGCCGACGCTTTTGTTACCCACCGCGATTTGCGAATTCTCGCGACCTTCTTTCGACGGAGGGATCCGACTGGCATTCGGAAGTCTAGCCGGTGAAAAGTATTTCCATGCGAGGCAAATTAGCGGCGCATTCAATTCAACCGGGAAGAGGTTGAATAATAGGCGCTTCCCATGATTGTGCGGATCGTTTACCTCGATCTCGGTAACGCCGGTCTCTGTTCAGCCAGGATAATTCGAAACCGCGGCGCGAAGAGAAGTGTGCCACCCGGCGAATATACGACGTCGCACGAAAATTCTGTTGTTGCGCAAAAAGACTCTGTATCCTCGGATCACGAACTCGCATTGTTTCGTATCGCCGGGCACCGCGTTCTTACGACGCATCGAGATAACCGCGTCCGTCTTAATCGCAACGCTTTTCGATTACGTAAACGCCGCGCACTTCCGAGCGACTCGAACTCGATCGCGTTCGATTTATGCGTCGATCGTTCGGTATCGCCGGCTTTGGATCGAGAGAGTTCCCGTTCCGCATAGAGGAAACGCGTGACCGCTCGTCTCGATCGTCCGCCACCGAGATACACTTCCTTCGATCCCGTCTACAATCGTAATTAACGTCGATCCTCCTTCCGCGCCGGACAAGATCGCCGGTCTTGCTGTTTTCACGTTCGAATCGTCGATGCTCGCGTTCTATTAAAGACGATGACGAGTCGAAATAAATTCGGTCTTGTTATTCTTGTAAAGCGACGCGCGTCGCGCTCGCTTTTGCAGCTTTGCTCAGCGTTAACGAGCGTAGCGATAAACAAATAATTGTGCGGCGCACGTTTTATCGTCGACCGCGCGAAATTACACCGAATAACATGCCGTACGATACCGCGACTAGAACGTGGATTTTTGTGCGAAATAAAAATCGTCGATCGCAAGAAATGGAATCCGAACAAGATACACTTTCTTTCTTTAATAATTCGAATAGCTCGATAGAATAGTAAAATGGCTCAATAAAAATATAGTAGATCTTCGATTCGTCGATTCTGTCGATTTTTTTACTATTCGAATTCGTGGGATAATCATCGTAATCGCTTGGACAATCGTCGAACAAATATCTCGTCGAAAGAGTTGGAATAATGGCCGAATCTGGTCACGAGAAATCGACCGGTTAGTGGGCTAATTGCTGCTTCCGGGGAGCCTTATTCGACTCTGCTGCTTCCGTTCGCTCGCCGCGATCGGAGAAACGAGCGGTCGGGAGAGAAAAAAAAGAAGCGAACCGTCGCGCAGCCGCGTCTGGTCGGATACGAACTTGACCCCGCGGGATAAAAAGAACTGGTTTAATGGGATCCCAATTAGTTATGACCGTGCGATAAGCTGGGAAAGAAACGGTGCCGGTTTAATTATTCCCCCGGGATGATAAAGAAAGTACCGGTTTCGAAGCGCTCGCGCACGCCTGCGCGTCCCCCCCCTCCCCCCGCGTGCTGATTCGCGCATTGTTGCCGCAGACAATCGCGTTATTTGCATTCCGCGTTTTGTTATCTTGCCGCGGCCAACGGGTTTCCACCGGAAAAGTTTTCCCCGTTCTCGTTTCCAGTCTCGGCGCCTAGAATTTCGAACGCGCCGGCTAGACGGACATAATAGACCGCGCGCGGTTTCGAATCGTTCGGAGCCGTCGTATGGCCGCGAAGTTAATGGCAACCTCTCCGAACGAGATCGCCGTGGCACACGACGTACACACCGGACGTGCATAAAACCGAGAACGAGAGCCAGCCGGCCGCGTTTTTTTCTCCCGGATCGTCGCGACGCTCGTATATCGGTTGTCCGGCGATCGTGCCGCGCGATTAACCAGGAGTTTCGCAAACCAGGATTATCGATAGCCGATGAGAGCTCGAAGCTCGTTAGATTCAGCCTTGCAACCTAGCTCGGGGACACGCGCGCATGCTGTGGATCCCAGATGAAACGATTGTCCCGACCTCGGCTGCGAACAATAGGCAATCGGCGGATGATAATTTAGCTCGCGGGTTAAACATAAATGAACGCGCGCGTTCCGCGACGGGTGCAGCGGTTGCAGCGATCGCGGCGGTTCCAGCAGCAACAACGCGTGTGTGGAAGCGTAAACGGTAAAATCGTCGGACGGATGAAACGAATCCGCTCGATAGAAAACTCCATGCGGGCCGTTCGCGCGGTTTTCTCGCTCGGTCGAGATTAGCTCTCGGGGTCCCGTATATATGGCTGTTTAGCAGAAATTCGCCCGATTACACCGGCACCTCGCCGTTATTATTATCGGCCGAACCCGTGTGCTCTCCTTTTCTCTTCCATCGGCGGCGCGTTCCGCTCGATTTCGCGGACTCTTTCGTCTCTCGCGAAAGTCTTTCCTTTTCGAGAGTCCGATCCCGCGCGTAACGGTATTCTTAATAATAATCGCGAAAACCAGCGGGATGTAATAAGAGGAATAATTCGAAAGAGGTCTCGTCGACGGCGAAGATGGGCGAACGCCGCTCGCGATTAACCCGGTCGAACGATTCTCACGACCGCTAACCGTGCAAACGATCCTCCGCGTCGCAAAGTTCATCGAAAGAGTTGCCACTTTCCCGGCTAATTGCAGGCGCCCGATCTCGGCCAGGAATCGCGCTCGATCAGATTTCTGCCGATAGTTGATCGAGCTTGATCTCTCTTATCTGACGACGTTGCGATTCTCCGGAGACTTCGAGCTACGGCTTTTTTTTTTCTCAAAAACTACGCGTCGTTGTTCTCTTGGAAACCCGACGCTACAAGCGTGTGTCAACTTTGACCGAAACTTGCGCTCCGCTGCGCCGCGCCGCGTTTCGTTCGGACGGCGATTAGCGGTCGCGGAAGTTCGTCGTCGCGGAGAAAGAGAGAGAACGCGAGGAACCGGTGGTTATCGGGCACGCGTAAATCTTAGTTTAACCGGTAATCCTTCGCGGAGGCCGAGTCGAAGACCGAGACACCGAGGCTGGCTTCCTCTCGCGAGCAGCGCGCGTGTTCCCTTATTCTTATTCCCTTCGCCGGTGCGGTATAACTGTACCAGGGTGTGGCTTACACGTCGAGACGCGACACGACACGACGCGAGGCGACTCCACGCCTGTCGGAAACGGTCTTGCACGAAACTCATAACAGCCCGTTAGATCGATCTGCTATAGCAACGCGTGTGTGCACGCGAACGCGACCGGCGTGGCACCGCGCGAGTCCCGATTCCCGACTCCCGACACTCGCGACCTTTGCTGTGCCCCTTAAACGGGGCCAGGCTCTCTCGCATGAGAAGTCGCCATTAGTTAGCCGGCGCGGAACACGCGGAAAATGCCGATTTTTCCGACGAACTTATCCCGAGAGATTGTCCGCGCGCAACAATTCGCTCCGCGTTTCATTCCGATCGCCTGACTTCGCCTCCCATTGTCGAGGCACCGGCGTTGCTGCAACGGTTAAAGTACGTTGCAACTATGATCGTTGGACCGCGGTTTTTACGTGTTTGTAACTAGAATGAATATTTAGACATTTAACGGTACGATTGTGTTATTTAGAATTCAATACAATTATTCAAGACTGGAGTAAATGTTTACGCTGTTCTCGTTTCTTACGACTGGACGCGCAAACTTTTTATTTCGCTGGCAACTTTTTAGTATTAAACATCCGCAGGCTAACGATCGTAAGAGTAAGACTTGTCGGAATGTAGCCGCCTCGCAGAAATCGTCCCGAATGTTGCGATTTTTCTATGAAATTTACCCGGAGAGACTCGCGCGATTTCAAGGATACGAAGTTGCGAGTTGCAAATGACGGAAAAATGAGGATAGAGGTCCTGCGCAACGATACCGCAAGCGATAAAGTACCAGAGACGAGCTGCCTGTCAATTTTCTTGAGGCGAGTCGTGAGAATTTCTGTTTTTAAAGAAAGTTGCTAACCGCACGCTCGATGAAAACCGAGGCTTATCTTCGCGGGATCTCTTCGAGCGGAGCGCGTTCCATCCTCGAAATCGCGTCTTCCCGAACGATCCTCGTCGATTCCAAGATATCGCGTCGATCGCTTAGTTTCGGATGATTTATCGGCTCGGCGTTCGTCGACGAAAAATCCCGCCTGCGGCTGATATCGATCGTGCACGCGTCCCTCCGACGATTCTTCTCCGTTGCCGCAGGGAGTACGCGCGTTCTCGCAGCCTCTGCATCCTGCATTCGCGAGGATCCTCGCGGAGGAGAACACTCGAGCCTGTTAAAAAATTCGTTTCCTTTCGGAGGAACTTGTTCGGATGCGGCGAATCGCAGTTGGGAACGTTGATAATGGAGACACGGAGGATCTACGAGCGCAAAGAGCTCGGGAAGCACCTCTCAGAAGCGAGGAAGGAACAGAAGCGAGAAGTTCGCCTTAAAACTTTCTCGCGGAGAGGCGAAAAGGCTTTTTAGCCGATCCGATAGCGGATCGGGAGTTGTGCAACGACGGCGATTAGTCGCTCTCGAACTACAAGCGAAAAAACGTGGCATTCGTTCGCGGACGAAGCAGAGATAGCGCGCGGCCGCGAAATCGCGCGTGACTTTTCCGCGTCTC